TCTGAAAGGGTGTTACTGTGTGCCACGGGACAGTTTCCAGCATACGAGAAAAGATCTGAGGACGTTTTTATTAGGCTAAAGTCTTACCTCAATGGCCGCATCAAACTTTTCACATTCAGTCATATTAATGGGTGGTTTTACATCGGTTGCTGGCTCAACCTTGAGAAAGATGGGACCCCATACGGTGGCAAGGGTCTTTCGCATATTCATCATTTGATGCCCATAGGAAATGCGCAGAAGGTGGCTTAAATATCGTCCAATTGCAATCGCTGCACTCATTTCAACCTCTGGAAGGTGAGTCAGAAATTGAATAACCGTTCTCGGAAGATGTCTATGTGAGTAGAAAGACACTGAATAAGTAAAGATAATGGGTAATATCTACCTTCCAATGTTGTATGCGGTTTCTTTTCCACGATAAATCCAAACAAGAAAGGGACCACGATGTTTGAGATAGGAGAGAAGCACGGCCAGAGCTCGTTCTGGCCTCAAGTCGATGCATTCAATAAGCTCCATTTTGCAGGGGAAGCAGATGTAGCGTTGAACAGCTACAAAATAATGATTCGATTTTAAATATATCTTAAGGCAGGAGAAGTAGGGAGGTGTAGAATCCTGTAAGTTGGATAAAGGGGTGGAGAGATGGTTGGACAAACAGACATGACGTGAGTAATAGAAGCTTACCTCTTTCAACGCAGTCCTCCCTATGCCAAGGTTCTGTATACATTGTGATGCCTCTACAAATGTCTCCATCGGGTACTCTTCGGCCACACGGATCATCAAAAGTCGCCTTCTCCAGATGCATTGTCCTCGTAGCGGAGTACACCGATCTTGCCAAAACGGGCAGACAGATCTACATTTAAAAAGTAAACATTTAGGCAAAAAACCAAAGAACTGGATGAATTTACCTCCGTCACAGCATGAGGATCCCAGAAACCCGGTTTTGAGCACCAATTCGGGCGAATGCACGGTTTGAAGCAATAGTCGACGGGAGAATGCGCGGCAGGAAAACAGCACGCAGTGTATTCCGTAGTGGTCATTCTTCTTCCCTGTTGTTACTTCCTCCACACTATCAATAGGTAGATGAGATGGACGGCAGACAAATCGATAGTCTGCTGCAGGAAGCGCGGAGTTCAAAAATGTGAGCGCATGGTTTGAACGGGTGTGTTGCTAAAGGCAGAGTGTGGGCTGGGGAGTGAAAGTTCTCCACTAAACGGATGGGTACGTGAGCTCTTCTGCAGTGTATGAGAGACGAAATTAGCATCGTGGAGTGGAAAACATTCTCACACTTTTACTTTAAGTTAAGTCACGTGTATTGGAAGCCATCTGGTGTTCGAATTGTCTCTTTTACGAAAGACGACCTTCAAAATCATGTGATTACCAGACATTAGGTAATGTTTAGCCTCTCCGTAAACACCTTTCAACCGGGTTGGTTCGTAGCAAAGTTCTACTCTCTTGGTGGACACGACGCAACGCAACGTCAAGTCCTCGATGGCTTTCTTCAGTGTGGCAACTCCTCTAAAATTTCACCATCCCAAAACGCCTCTACACAAGTGACATCCTCTTCACCATCTATACCGGAGTATCCCTCTTCGTCATCCTCGTTGTCGGTAGCCATTCAGCGCAACTTTGGGAATGTGGAAAAGATTCGCTCTCGAGAGGTTGTCGACTCCAATCTCCATGAGAGGGTGGGTGTTTGCATTGTTAGGTCGCATTCAGCAAGTCAGGAGCTGTGTCGAGCCTACGCTAAATCCCAGCAAACAGCAACATTTCTGGTGTATACGAGAAATCATTGGTACCTCTGTCGACAAAGGCCTGGATGCTCACCGAAAATGATATGCGAGATAACTCGCATGATGTTTAACAGTGGTACTCAAGTTCGGGAGGATGAGATTACGAGTTTGAAAGATGCTGAAATTCAAACTGTTGGAAATTTTGAAGAGGTCATGTTGGACTACAAAAGGTCAAAAATAAAGCGAATGCAAAATAGGGCATGTGGTGATGACTCCAGCTGTACCACAGTGGTGACAGTGGAAGACGTCGTTGAGGAGGACGTGGAGGCATGCGAAGTGACAGTTGAGATAGATCAAAGACCAAGATTATCTCGAATGTCATTCACAGCATCGGAGACATTGGACCAAATAACCACGGATTCAGTTTTTTCGACGAAATGGATGAGAGGGAAAAAGCTTAACAAAAATTTGGTGACTAAGGCGTTGCCAAGCAGTTATGTAGGACAGCCGAATGGAAGGGTAGACAAGACTTCAGCGAGTACGTTATGGGACTACTCGGATGGAGAGTTAAATAGCTCCTGTTCTTGTACAAAATGTTTGCGTAACAAATAAAGTATTAATGCACAGGTGTTTATTTTGATTACTGATAAAATCATCTGAAATATTTACCAAAGCTGGAGTGAAGTAACCAATATTATACGCTGATTATAGGAGATTATTTTGCAATGGCCCTCAAATGCAAGAGGTGGGTATTTCCACTCCAAAGCCGTGCTGTTGGCGTGGAGGCACGATCCGCATAAACTGCAGTAGACGTTTTCCTTACCCTTTCTTCTAATCATAGTGCAAGCTTGGAACCTTTAGAATGCCGAGTAGATGTCAATAAGGCAAACCATCTCCAAACTAACTTAAAATAATGTGTTTTGACGATGAAGAAAGAAGGGTAGCATCTTGAAAAGTGTCATCTAATTGTTAGTTTATTTGTATGTCTGATGGTTCCGCATAGATGACGTGAAAATTTACTAATGTCTTAATAAATTTGCACTCATGATCTAGAATTAGTAAAACTAGGAAAAAGGATCTCCTTTTGTTGCTGGTGTAAGATATTAGTTGAGATCTTCAAGGTTGAACCTTCCATATTAGCAAGATTATATTTCGCGATTTATGAACGGTTTGTTTCACGCGTTCACTTAAATGCCAAAATATTCGAGTGGTGCTGGCGGGATATACTCTCTTGCGTTCGCTAGATAATGTCTACGGTGCTTAAGGAAGGATCCCTTGAGAAGTGGTCTGATGGCAAAAAATCATTCCATTCTGCTTACGCGAAGCTCCTCAGCAATGGATACTTTCAGTGGTTTGACTCTGTGAATTCATCGTCTCCTAAACGTAGTATCGACATACGGGTTCGTTGATTTTCAATAAATATCTAGTTTATCTAGGCTGTTTCGTCGTTTTTGGCGTTTGGACCTGTTTTGCACCAGGTTCCCTGCAAGCCATCTGTATTTTCTGAATCCGATATTGAGAGGTCTTTTGGTGTCCCTCATGAGGCTCATCAAGGCACCGCTGTCTCATTTTTCAGATGTTCAAGTCAGGCAGAAATGGCGTAAGACCACATTTTTTGTAAATATACGGTTTGTGCTTGTGTGTGTGTATGCTATTCACTGGTTAACTGCCATGATCATCGTCAAATTAAATTATGTAGACGTTTTTGCTCCCTACCGACTTGGTTGTTCCTATGATGCTTTCAATTTTTAGCTCATGGATGGACTCAGTGAACCGTTTGGTAAGGTTTGGTGGTTTCGTTTCATACATTTTCTTAGTTATTCGGCAATATGGGAGCAAACTCAGGCATAGTTCCACAACAAACTGTTCCGGTTCAGTCTGGACCTTATCAGTCCTACGGACCCCCTTCTGGATTTTATTCACCCCAGTCCGCCGTGGCTCCTCCTCCATTACCTCCTGGTGTTGCTAGTGAGTTCGGTCATCATACTTTTATTAAACCTTCTTTCGCCTTTTTTCGAGCTTCCACCTATTTTATTTTTTGATCAGCTAAGCTCTTATAGTTGGTGAACAACTCCATCATCGACGTCCGAATCCGACTTCATGCAGCGTTTAGTTGTAGTTTCTCCATTGGTCTTTAGTTCTTTTTCAATGCATTGCTTTTCAACATGTATTACAATAATCTCTTTTCATCTTTATACTTTTCTGCTAAGTTCTTTAGTGTATTTCTGGTAATTCTACCTTTCTTTAGTATTTTTCCGGTGGAACAAATGCTGCTTGTACAGTTGTTTGGTGATTGGTTTGTTTGCTACGTACAGTTAAATCACATGACGCTATGGCGTGCCAATGTGTTATTATGATGCAGAAGAGCCATGTATAACTACCAGTACAGCCAATGGTTCTGGCAAAGTTTTCGCCTGTAGTGTCGTGTCCACTTTCGGTGTTGTTTTGTACATCAGCTGCGTGTTGACCGTTGCCCCCATCTCTTTCTTCCATTTATTACCGTTAGATATGCACTCTAATCGCCCACGCTCAAAGTGGGAGGCCAATCCAGACGGCACTATGGCTCTGTGACATGATTTACGCCCTCCTATTGAATTAGTCAGAAGCTGGAGTATTTATTTTGTAGTGCGTCATTTATTCTTAGCCTATGCTGTCCAGTCTTTGCTCCGGTGAATGTTAATTCGCATAAATATCTAACGGTTCACTCGTACATTAGCACATCAACTTTAGAGGTTAAAGTAGCTTCCAGGGAGTCGAATTATGCGAAGCATATTTTCAATTCTTCTTGGGTGTTGAGCTTGTTTATGACTACCGATGTGGGTGACTGTTTTTTAAGATTCCCCCAACTGAGTCAGTGTAGTACTCTCCCCGACTCCACATGGTGTCATGCACGGCGTTCAGGTGGTGTTATTGGCGTGTAGAGCATAGTATAACCACTCTTGTGATGCTCTGCTGTAGCATGACGTTTCAGAATTCTTGCACAAGCTAGTGGGTTCCATTGCATAAATAGTTAACCGGATCCTGAAACAAATCCCTTTGCGCTTATGCTTTGTGCAGAAGCTCCATTAATGGAAGAAATTCCTCAAAGATAGTGTGTTTTTGCTAGGGATACTTGGGACCCCGGACAGTGCCATTTTCCCATTGCTTAAGGTTCCTTTATTTTTATCTTTGAGTGCATTAGATCGTCGTGGTTCCGCTCAGTCCATTTTGACTCCCTGGCATCACCGGTGTACCTCAAGTACACCGGTACTTACTGTAAGGTCAAGGCCATCCGTGTAATGTGCATATCCAAATGCTAATTTTCCCAAATAACCTCAAATTCGCCTTGAATGGCGGCGTGTTGTCCTTTTCTTCCACTAAGATTCATTTCGTCGTTTCACAGCACTTTTGCGAAGTGGAGATTCTTCGTTTTTAACAATCCATCCAAGAAACCTAGCTTCCACACCGGCCGATAGTCCTTCCTATTACTGCTGGAGTTGAATGTTATTGTGTGCGGTAAATTTTCACTCATCATGCCCCATGACTAACTTGGCATGGAGGTAGGTTTTTTAGGTGGCACCCCTCTAAACTAATATTTGATGGTTTGCAATGGTTACACAAGCTGTACAGACGGGGTGAAATGCCAGCAGTTTGTGACATTTGGTTTATTAAATTATGCCATGTCACACCAGAAGTTGAACTGCAGTGCTCCATTGCCTTTCAGTCGTTCGGTCCAGATTCATTCATTGCCACTCTATTCTGTTACTGTTTATTCTTCCCGCTTGTGTCTATTCTACTCCGATTCCTTCACTCGTCCTCTTATTCACCACGAAGTCATGGACTTCTATTGGATCACGGTTGCTCTGATCCATCAGCACCTCCACTTTCGCCCCATCGACCCACACCTTCGATGTGAATCCGATACTAATTCCGAATCGCACTTCTCCTTAAGATCCATCTCCTTCCTACACTCACTTCTTCCACCTATTTTGTCTGTTGGTCTATCATGACTTCGGCATTCCTTCTCTAATCCATTCATCGCCTTCCCATTAGTCTTCCCTAGGTTTATCATCCCATTCTCCCTGATTCGATTTTACATGATGCCTGGCAGTTGACATCTTCAGGACTCATTCATGCTGACTTCATCACTTCGCCATGTATCTTTGTCTGATGTAGTCACTTTCAGTCTGAGGTATCCACAGCAATGCTATCCAATCCTTCTCTCATCTAAACTTGCCTATTCATTCGTCTCACACTTGTCTATCAGCTGCTACGTACTACAAAATTCAAACATGCATTAGCACTCTTTAAGTCATCCTCTCAAGTTCCACCTATCCCCTCTCGCCCCAGTACCGTGAATTCACTCAGCCACTCAATTCTCTCAGTTCCTATTTGCAAACTGTGCCTAATCTCTCCCTTCCAGATTATCCAGGGCCCACCCAATTCCCCCCATACACACAACCACCAATGGCACCTCCAATGGGTGCGCCTTATTCGGCACCACAACCGATGCAACCGCCACTGGGTGCACCCTACGGCGCCTACCCTAACAGCAATCAACCTGCCGCCGGCCCAAGTTACAACTACTATCCGACGCCTCAGCAACCAATGCCTAGCCAACAGCAGCAACAACAACAACAGGTCTTCTACGACAAGAATGGCAAGCCCTACACCATTGTCTACAAGGATGGAAAGCCGAAGAAGAAGAAGTGGAAGAAGGCTGCTCTCGGTGAGTGTCTCTACGATTAGTTAACTTGATCTCTTTGAGAGATGAAATGGTACAAGGGGTTTTTGTTCCGTCCTTTACAGGCCTTGCAGCCGGAGCAGCAACAGGCTACGTGGCGGGTAAGATGTTCGGCGGTCTTGGTCGTGCCCTTGGCTATGGTCTCGGTGGTTGGGGCGGTGGCTGGGGACGCCCCTACTGCGGTGGTGGCTTTGGTCGCTGGGGAAGTTGGTCCTCATTGAGCTCCTTTAGCAGCTCTGGTGGATGGTCATCCTAAACTATGCCTCTCGCAATGGCTTCGTTGCATCTTTTTCGTTGGTTTCTTTCTCTTTTTAATTAACTATCTTGTATTAGAGATAATCATGTTGACTTATTGGATGGAATGTCATTTAATAAACGCTTCAGCAAATATTTCTTCGCCTGGATAGAAGGTGAACATCTGGTGTGGGAATGATCAGGTGTGGTGGTAGAGTTGAGAAGGCTGAAGTGTCTTTCTGTTATCCAGTCTAGGTAGATTGCCAAACTTGGATTTCATAGAGTGCATTTGAACTTCAGTCATGTGTCGGCTCATCTCCCTAGTGTCATCATCATTGTATGAATCCATTTTTTAATTGACAATCAACCGCAGCGTTGTGGTAACGCGCTAGCCTACTCTATAGGTAAGCAACTTTTCTGACCAGTCGACTGTCTGTCGCATTGACTACTTATGTATATGAGTAGCGTGTATTATCGTAAGTTCAGTACAACTTGGCAGTGAGTTGGTGTTGAAGCCTCGGGATGTTTCAGTAAGCAGCATTGCTAGGTGGAGGAAGTTTCATCGAAAGCGGTATTAGGTGGGGGGAGGGGGATTTATTCTCTCGCCTTGTTGTCACTCTCTGTATCATAAAGTTAACTTCTAAGACGCCCCATATGTAGGCATTTCAGGTCAAGTTATTCAAACTAAATAAAAGAGTGCTTGCAGGATTGGTTTAGCTCTTTTTGTAAGCAGATGTGGTGAACTCGTGTGGTGTAGTCTGATTAGTACAAACACGTGCAATGCTTTGCTAATTTCACCTCCCGTAATTAGTGAGTTGTGCAAATGTGTTTTTGGTGCTACCGCGATCACAGTCGAATCAAAATTACCCAGCCGAAGCTTCTGTAATGCCCTACGGATTTGCTTAGCTCTTTATCTGGGGAAGCTAGCAAGCTGTCTACCTTGTTATTGCATTTTTTAAGATCGGAGGCCTAAGTAAGTGATTTTTAGAAGTTGCCGGAAAGTAGATGAGTCCTCTTAAGCTCACCAAAGAGCCCAACTGTAGCTTAGATCAGTAGCCATTTTTATATGTGGATAATGAAGTCATTTTTCTCGTCCATTTTATCCACCCTACTAGTGACAACTATCCAACTAAAGGCGTTCAACTTAAATGTTGATCTTTAGCAAATTCATGGGCAAGACAAAGAATTGACCGTTACCTGGCCACGAGTTTGACAAAGATCCAAGATATGAAACTTATGCTTACCTGCATACAAATGCTGCAGGTCTCGTGTTTGCCACAATAGGTTGAAGGGTTGCGATAATGTTAGCGCCACAGTTGTGTGGCACAATTGCAACATTATAATTATCTCATGCGAAAGTTACCTTTAACAGTTGTCAAAGTGTATTGCCATCCCTTAAAAATTAGAGAAGGGATTTTGCCAAAGTCGCTCATTGTCAAAATGCATTCTTTTCTGTTACCGGTGTAAGATTGTGCATTAAATTACACTTGTAAAGCTAAAACATCAAACCACTCAAGCTTTGCTCACTAACGATTAAATACTTGAGGCCTTATGCTTAAAAATGTCCATCTAGATGGATAACTGCAGTAAGTAGATGAAATTTGTGGCAGAATATTTATTAACACGACAATGATCAATAAACGACTAGTGTAGCGTTTTTTAGAATTATGGCTAAGGCATCGTAACTCCAAAAACAATAAAGAATGCAAGTATAGTAACACGGATTGTGATTGGCTCGTGACAATTAACCTTGACCCAACCAATCAGCTTTTCTGAAGATGCTGTTCAACAAGACGTGAGGATAGAGGTTGTCTTTTGGAAATTGATTTAACGTTACTTTCCACTTTCTTGCGAATTATTTTATACTAGAATACCAGTGATGCGTGCTTGGTTTCTTGCCTAAATTCTCACTGTCGTCAATGTTTGTGTTTATTAACTGCCTTTCATGTCACGTGTGACCCAGTGGTTGTCTGACAAGGAGGCATTGTGTGAGAGCCTAGTCACTTTTAACCAGTTAACAAATGGCATTCTACTATGCCAAAACTCTTAGAGCTCTGTCCAAACACGAATCGCGATGCGATGGGAGAATTGGAGGCATAAAAAATAAGGTGGGATTTTGGCGTTCACGTAGGACCGGTTGATCAGTCCTGATTGATGGTCAAGAAACAGCGAACCCTGATGTCCGAACCTTCAGACTGTGGTAGGTATTGCCCCATAGTAGATAATATTAGTATGTCGATTCGTAAATGAACAGTACCATGCATCGTGCTACGATGCGACACAGCCCAATAGGACCGGTGTTAGGTAAGTGGGACGTGGTCCACATAGGTGAGATAAAGAGAGAGGATTAATGGGGGACATTAAATGACACTAATGTTCATAAGCCAATTCTCAAAGTTTGGCTGACCTGTACAATAGATAGTCAAATGAAATCGAAGAGGGGAAATACTTTAACTTCTCCCTTTTGAGGTATTTATTGCTGCCTGATGCGTATTTGTATGACCTACATGCTTGGTAATGGATGCTACGACTCCGCTACAATAACTACTACCGTAGAAGCCAGCAACTTACTCCTTTCTTTACACGTCACTAATGTCCCGTAATTCTTTCTCTTCAAGGGCTGTGAGGATGAGTAAGTTTTCTCTCCTGGCTGTAAATTTTTTTTCATGCGAATTTTATGTTTGCCATGAACCGCAGCAACACCAACTGCTAGTGAAACAACAAATTCGTCTATAATCTGACTTTCGTAACCATAGAGGCAAAGTTGAGAATACAATAAAGAGCGCTATTACGAGTGACATAAGTCTAGTCGTTACAATTCACACAGCAGCTGTGTGAATTACATGGGCGCCTATCACCTTACATTAGGGCAAAGTCTTCTCTCGCCAAAAATAGCGGCAAATTGGATCTCAAGATGATCTGGTACCATTAGGACCAAGTTAAAGGGCATGTGCAACTCGACAATTTAATGCTTTGAGGGTTGGTAGATAACTCACAAAAGCCAATTATGCTCAAAGTGGGGTGAAACACGACTGCTCAATGGGTTCTAAAGAAACTAAATGGGAAAAAAAATGAAAATGAAAAACGCCCAACGCCTTTTTTGTCTCCGACAGTCATGTCACAGCCGAATTACGGCAAAGTATCACCATCAGTCGCTTACTTACTCGTATATAAAGATTTTGTTTTCTCGTTTCAACTAGAGACGTATTTTATGGCGCTGGATGGTTTTTATGCCTGGTTAACAAGACGTTGCGGCCGCTTGACGGCTAGTAAACAAAAGACTTCACTAGAAAGTTCTCTCCGGCGTACATCACAATTGCTGCATTGTGATTGGCTGATGGAGCTAATGCCACAAAGTCTATTGGTCAGATTTGACCCAATCAAAACTAAGAACTCTTCTCGATTCATTGTAAATATTTCAAGGATACTTAGATTTTTTGCAGAAATCATCGAGGTATATCAACGTAAACAGCTAAAAATCGTTTGGTCCAATTTGACTTCCAGACTCTCAGACCTTGAAATTATTATTCATAAAGTCTTTGGGAAGGAGAGTGCACGTTTGCCGTGTTCTACAAGGACAACTCCACCTCGAACCCAACGGTCTGTGAGGCTCACATTGATGCCTTAATGGAGAAACTTCTGTGGTCGAACTATGTACTGTCCTTTTGCCTATCAATGCAGACGCAGCCAAATCGTCAGTTTCATGCCATAGGTAATTAGGTGACGGCCTGACATTAAGGCAGCGTGTTAGTTCACTTACCTGTCAGAGTAAAAATGAAAGATGTGAATGAGGAAGTGCTTTCACTCCTCCCACCTCTTAACTGAAATTCTTAGCGAATAGATGCTTTGTGCTGTGAGGTGTGGAATCTCACGGTGTCACGCGGGAATAAGAGCGAAAGACTTTTGCCTGATCGATACACTGTATGAAAAGAGCGCCGGAGTTGGACTTAAAAAGATCATCCGATTCCCGACAGTCTCGCCTAGCAAATTCCAAAATGAAAATGACATTTTGATGATCTCGATCTGGCAGTACTGACTATATAATCCCAATCCACGCTATAACGACGACAAATGTCGCAGAGGTTAAATAGGCAGTTTAAAGTCTGAAAATTTCCCACATCTTGTCTACCTTCCTACCCTTGAGATGGCGTTGAACTTCATAATTCTCCTTCCACTTGACTGAAGTCACATGAAATATATCACACAGAGGACACCGCCAACACAATTAAACACGATCCAACTGCTCCAATTGAGATCTCTGAGCCATCCAAGTCCACACATCGGGGAATTCAGAGCCGTAAGACTCGCTCAACACCTTCCAACGAGTCGCAAATGGGTTTTACAACAGGCAGATCCAATACCCTTGTCTGCTGACAAGTGGCCCCAAAAGTGCGGTGTAATGCAAAGGTGCAGGAGTGCATTGGCCCCTGGAAGAAGACAATTCAGAACTCACAATACCCCAGACCCAACACCTCATTGGATTACCAGTTTCACGACATCTCAAGCGTGTAAAGCATTCCACTACCCATCATCGGGGAGGAAAATCGGGATCTTCGCCTCAGAATTAATGACAAAGGGTTGCAAACCTTGAAATGTCACTTCATCAATCATGAAAATTACATCACCAATCCCTCAGGATCATAAATCATTTGCCAACCAACGACAAATTGGGAAAAAAAAGTCATTCGTTTTGTCTGGAAAAAAAAAAGGGAGTTTTATTCGTTCTATTAGTCTCAAGGCTTAAAAGAGGGAAGGGTAGGGGGATAGAGGAAGGGAGAAGAAGAGGACACAGAAATAGACAAGGGAGCTAAGAATACCAGAAGAAAAGGGGATAGTGGAACGAAGGGAAGGGAGGTGGGGCGGAGGAAGGTGAGGGTACACAGAACGTGAAAGTTCCGTTGCATCAACGTTAACATCATCATATAGTCTTAAGGAAAGGCACATATGGTGTTTGGCTAGGCGCTGAGGAGATGGACAAATTGAGTGGATGGCAGATGAATGAGGTGCTGGAATCACAGGCAGAGTGGAGATCGATTGGGCTGGACGAAGAAGACGACCAGAGGAGGAGTGGAAAGGGAGGGGTGAGGAGCGTGGAAGGGAGCAGAAGTAGTTGTACACGCAAACAAGAAAGCAAGCAAGCAAGCAAGCACGCATACGATCGAAGAGAGGAATCACAATAGAAACACGCTGGCAGGCTGGACTGTGCGGCAAATCTACAAAGAAAAAGGCGCCTCAATAACAGTGACGAGGAGGAGAAGAAAATTTGACAGCCTAGCAAAGATTTTGTGACAGAAAATCAGGAGTTGCCTGCTGCTGGCTAGTAACATGGAGGACCATCATCAATCTTGGAGGATCTTCAATTCTGTATGCCTGAGCTCCACAGAAGAAACTCGAGGATTCAGGAACTAACAGGTTGTTAATCGAAAAGAACTACAGCATGGAATTGATAGCATGTTGGAATTTATTGAGCCGCATTGGAAGGTGAGATCTATTGATTCAATGCTTATCTTCTTCAAAAGGATGAAGCACCTCCCAGTACTGATTGAAGGATGATGAATGCTGCGACTGAAGTTGTGAACCGTCTTGGAAGCTGGCCATTTATTCCGACATGAAAAAAACAATGTGATGCTGTGGAGACCTTGAAATATGAATCAACAGCTCTTGAATAGATGAAGCAGTACCCATCCTCAAATGGGAAGCCGAGATCAACGAAACATGGGTATGGACTGCTTCCAGACCGATGACACAAAGCCTGATGAATGAAGTAGATAGCAAACACTACAAAAAGTCGAGATTATCGCTTCTGCATTAGCTTTTACGACCTTTCCAACAATTCACTCTCTTAGTTGAGGAATTGAAGAGTTCAATAACATGAAAATGCAGTGCAGTAGAGGAATAAAAATTCAAGAGTTTGAAACCACCAACTGTAGAGGAATAATTACTGACGCCGACAAAAATCCCCCCAGAAGTTCCACCTCCTCATTACCCAGTGTCAGGTAGAAGACTTGAAATGGGGGGTGGAGGGGATAAAATGGAAAGAACACAAACAATCAAGGCAAATATATGAACTCACCAGTTATTGTGAATGATCTGAAGCATTTCCTCGCCTTTTGATGCGGGCAAAATCTCGTTGGTGTCTCGAAGGTGCGTCACTGCCCGATTCTCCGCCGTCTCAACTTGAATGTGACGCAGTAGACGGTTCGGAACGTTCTACGTGGAGGACAGAGGAGGAAAAAAGAACAAGGCGGATTAACACAAGAGCAAACCTTTGAGTGAGTAAATCTGCTGAAAGTCTGAGGTCAGAGATCAATCTATAATCGCCACGAATTCTTCATTGAACACTTGATGTCTTCTTTGACAAAGTTGGAAGGACGTATAGGGGATGTTATGAGATCGGATAACTCAAAGCGCGGCACAAAAGGTACTAAAGTCGGTACCAGCAACAGAATACGCTGTACTATTCTCTCCTCTCTTCTCCCTTCCTATTTAACTTAACTTTGGAGTACAAGGTTCAGAAACGGAGCCTATGCGTTCATGGACTTGATCTTGAAAGTCAAGATGTTAAGTGACTTTGCAAAAAGGAGACGCGACAGGAGAACAAAGAAATTCGGCTCATTACTACAGAAAAACTTTATTAAGTAGAACTGAGAGGACTCGGATTAGTGTAAATGCAGACCTTAATGGTTAAAGTTGAGAGAAGCAGGAATACAATGGAAGTTGGATGGAATCTACAGGATTCGTAGGCTTGAATTAAGCCTATAAGGGCATATGATGTGCTCAGAGCAGATATCTAGGGGGTGTGAAAAGAGGCAGAAGACCACCTCACCTTGGCATAGATCCACCGCACTTTGAAGGCACCGCGCCATCGATTGTCCTGCCAAATATCCAACTGTTTCATTTTGTCCACAGGACTGGTCATTTCCGCGACACCGCAGAAGCAGCCCGACGTATTGACGGAGAAGAAGAGGAGGACGCGACCAGGTGGTGTCTGCGTCGGTGTTGCTGTGGCAATTTCACCACCACCACCACCACCGCTGGTGGATGAAGTCGTCGACGTTTTGGTGGTAGTGCCATCAGTAGTCTGCTATGGAAAAAGGAAGGGGAGTTATAAATACGAATTGTTCAGAACCGCCTCCAAGAGCTATGCGACACAACGAGATGCCGAATCTTCGCATCACATACCTCACACATCATGAAGTTTGATATTTGGCCAAGGCTTGGGA